AGAATCGGGGTGAGGAAGCATCCCCAAAGGCCCAAGCAGGGGTGGGGGGTTGGGGGGGGGGTGTCTGTGTGCAAGTAGCTGATATCTCTGCATATGTTGTACGTATACCACCGTGGGGGATGCTGCATCCCGTGTCGATGGTTCTGTGACGCGCGGTCCACGTGGTGGCTGTCGGCTACGCTGTGTGTCCTTCTGTTCTGGGAAGTCGATTTGAGCGGCCCCCTCGTTGACGGGGGGTCATCTGGATAAACCCAGATAAACCTTCCTGGGAGGGCGGGCAGTGCGCTGGGAGCTCTGGGGCAGAGGCTCCTGAAGGCTGGTGTTTGAGGGTGCTGTAGAGCCGGGGGTGCTGCTCCTTCGGGGATTTCCCCCGCTGACTCTCACGGGTTTCCTTCCAGTTGAAGGAGTTTGCAAACTTCGACTTCGATGTCTGGCGGAAGAAGTATATGCGCTGGATGAACCACAAGAAATCCCGTGTCATGGACTTCTTCCGGCGCATCGACAAAGACCAAGATGGGAAGATCACCCGGCAGGAGTTTATCGATGGCATCCTGGCCTCTAGTGAGTCCCTGTCTGAAACGAGCTCGGAAAATGGCCACCTCGGTGTGAGGAGAGGTTGTCCCTGCTCGAGGACTGAGATGCAGACTGTGCTCCGACGTCCCCAGCTCTCAGGAGTGAGGTCCCTGCATCGGTTGCACATTTCTCTTTCCTTCCAGAATTCCCCACCACGAAGCTGGAGATGACCGCGGTGGCCGACATCTTCGACCGTGACGGTGACGGCTACATCGATTACTATGAGTTCGTGGCTGCTCTCCATCCCAACAAGGATGCCTACCGCCCCACCACTGATGCCGACAAGATCGAAGATGAGGTAAAGCACCAGAAGAGAGGGGTGCTCGGAGGTGTGGGGTGGTTCAGGCTGCGGGCTGGCAGTGGGGAAGACAAAAAGGAGGAAAAAAGAAAGGATTGTGGTGGTGCTGAGCTAAAATAGGTGGCTGGTACCACCAGTACCTACCGTGGTTTGGAAGGAAAGGCTCCTTAGGGCTGTGTGTTATCCAAGCAGTGCCTTGTATTGGGGGAGACTCCCAAAATCCTAGTCCCTTACCTCTCTTGTTGGTGATGGCAGGTCACCAGGCAAGTGGCCCAGTGCAAGTGTGCCAAGAGATTTCAAGTGGAGCAGATCGGCGAGAACAAATACCGGGTAAGGCAGAGGGGGCCGAATACTGCCCCGGCAGCACAAATCCTGCCCCCCCTTCCCACCCCGGGGGG